AGCATGACAACTCATTCCAGACCCCTGCACTGAAAGGTTTGACTAAACTAAATAGAGTGTGGCTTTGAGCAGCGTGAAGCTGTGACCCCAGGGTGACCCCAGCAGCGCCCTGACTTCAACGCCCTCCATTAAAATGGCTGCCTGAGGAAAGCTCAACGCTGCCAGGAAAACTTATTATGTCCTAACCAATACCAAATTATTGGCCCCTGAACTCCATTTCTTGAAACATTTAATAAAAGTGGATTACAGTGGAAAAATATGCACCTTTTGCAACTTAGAAGGCCTCTCAGAGAAGCCAGGAGCAACTCCTTTGAAATAGGATCAAGTAGGATTAAAAAAAAAATAGGAGGAAAAGGAAAAGTTGTTTAAAATCTGTCTCTGCAGGAAGATAGAATCGCTATGTAGACAGCTGTCACAAACACGGCTGGGGAATCAGATGTACACTGACAGGTCCCCTTGTCCTTTCCACTTCACCACTCTGTCAAGCCCACACTCTTCCATCCCCCTCATTTCTTTTTTCAAATGCCCAGGTCACCTCTGCACAGATTAGAATGGAGCTCTGCTCTTTCCTCTACCATCAGGGGCCAATAGAACGAGCTCCACCCGCTTTACTGGTGTCTGGCTGTATTTACCTTTGATAACACCAGACAGGGAAATTCAGCAGAGAGGAAAACAGAATCAAGAAAGCCACTTCCCTAAGGCACCAACCCCTGCGTCAACCATGCAGTAAATGTATTTTGTCATTGATTTCAAGACAGATAATTTTCAGCCACTAAATTTTATTTTGATACTGCAATTATTGCACACAGAATATTGCTTTGGGGGGTTTTTTTTGAGACAGTTTTTCACTAGGCAGTTCAGGCTGGCCTTGCACTTCCTTTGTAGCCCAGGCTGGCCTAAAACTCACAACAATCCTGCCTCAGAGAATACTGTAGTTTTAGGCTGGGCATGGTGGTACACCCCTATAATTCCAGCACTCGGGAGGCTGAGGCAGGAGGATCGTTGAGAGTTTGAGACCAGCCTGGGCTACAAAGTGAGCTCAAGGCCAACCTGAACTGCATAGCGAGACCCTGTCTCAGAAAGACAAAAAAAAAAAGAGAATATTGTAGTTTTAAAATACAATAAACCTATGCTTTCATTTATAATACCTAACATAAGTGACAAAATTCCATTCAGTCTCTTATAAAAGGGTCTAGCTGATATAGTTACGTAAATCTCAGAATCATTATGTCAATCTGTTTAAAAGTGTTTTTCTGCCTAGCTGGCAAGTACAAGGTCCTAAGTTTGATTCTCAGTACCAAAAAAAAAAAAAAAAAGTGTTTTTCCCATTTGAAATGTAAAAACATCAATATTGCTTACCATAATAGGTAATAAAAGAGGTTATTTTTAGAATAGAAAGAAAATTTAAGGTAAATTAAATACTAGTTTGATTAAAACAAAGTTAACTTCTATAATTTCTGTACAACACACTTGTTCTGAAAAAAGTGCAAGGTCCTAAAGATAAGCCATTTCTTTACATAAATAAATAAATAAATAAATACTCATCTCAGGCCCAGGCAAGGTGTAAAATGATTCAGGAACAAGCCCCTCCCACCTTTAATCACATGCAATGGACCTGCCAGACGGAGAACAAGGAATATAGTGAAAATGAGTCTTTATTTCTCTATCTTGCAAGAGCAGGTGCCAGTTTAACAGGAAGGCAGGCACACGTGGGGTGGTTACAGTGAGCAGTTTATCCCCCAGCTTGCAGTTCTTTTCCCCTAGTTCCTCATTGGCTCAGTACTATGGGAAGTGCAATCTTCCCAGATGCTGCCTAGATTTTATTAGGATTTATCTTCGGCCTGCTCCCTCTGCAAGGAATTTGTGGCTTTAAGGCAAATGATTAAGCCACAGGTGGGTAACTTTTTGGGTTTTCTTTGTTTGGTTTTTGGTTTTTTGGAGACAGGGTCTCACTATATATTCCAGGCTGGCCTTGAACTCACTATGTAGTCCAGGCTGAGCTCAAACTTGTGGAGATCCTCTTGCATCAGCCTTCCCAGTGCTGGGATTACAGGTGTGTGCCACTATGCCCAGGGCCACAAGTGGGTAATTGCCAGTACTTTTCCAATCAGAGTTAGGATAGGGAAGGCATGTTTTATTGCCTATCTTTGCCTTGCTACTAAACAAAGATGCCCTTTGTTTAGGGGCCTTTCAGATGCATGACCTCAGGTATGTCCACAGGCAAGTAGGCAATTTTGTCTACTAGTAGCTTTCCACTCAGACTGAAAGACATTATCTTGAAAATGGACCACTTTAACTGTTTATTTCTCATACCAGTGACAGAACATCTGGAAGGGTATTTTGAAAAGTTTAAGACAAAAGCCTAGGGAATGAGCTGACTACACTCAGAAACTTTGGCCACTTAAAAAAAATGGATGCAGGGGCTGGGGATTTAGCTCAGCGGCACAGCGCCTGTCTGGCAAGCGTGAAGTCATGAGTTCGATTCTCGGTACCGGAAAAGAAAAAAATGAATGCAATTCCTATTCACAGTAGCTAAGATATGGAATCACTTATATGACCAACAATAGATAAATGAATAAAAATATGATACCTATACTCAGTAGGGTATTACTAAACCGTAAAGCAGACTAAAATCCTGTCATGTGCAGCAAAATGGATAGAACTAGAGGAATCATGTTAAGAGAATTGGGAGTGGGCTACAAGGCATTTTTTCAAATTTGCCTGAAGGTATCATAAGAACCCTGCTGGTCAGAGTCTAGTTATCTTCTCTCTCTCTTTTTTTTTTTTTTTTGTCTTTTTGAGACAGGGTCTCACTATGCAGTTCAGGCTGGCCTTGAGCTCACTATGTAGCTCAGGCTGGTCTCAAACTCCCGACAATCCTCCTGCTTCAGCCTCCCAAGTGCTGGTATTACTGGTGTGCGCCACCATGCCCGACTTGGCTGTCTTCTTACTAGCAAAGTTTCCAGAATGTACAATGACTAGTGAGAACCTTAGTTCTCAGACAGAGCCTGGTGCCAGGTATGACTGAGGGTCTCAGAACCCTGGGAAGGGGACACTGCAGTCTTTCTCCATGGAGATGGATGCAAGAAGGGAGCAGCTTGGCCCCAGGAGGAGTGCTGACAACCCCACCCCCACCCCCACCCATTGCCACTAGGTCTTCCCTCTGGGCAGAGTCAAGTCTGGGAGAGGGGGTTATGGGTACATGGCATCTCTGAAAAAAGGCTTGACTGTTGTTTTTGTCAGTATACAGCATTTGAGACCAAAAAAGTGATAGAAGCCCAGGTTTAAAAATTACAAGAACACAAAAGGTTAAAGAGGAAAAATAATTATCCTTATTATCTTAGGTAATAGTCCTTCCTTTTTTTGTATATCCTACTAGAAATATTCCAGTAATGGCTTCTCTGTGCCTCAGTTTTCCCACTGAACAATGGGGATAATAACACATCATGAGATTCTTTCAAGGGTTAGGTGAGCTGACCTTTGTAACACAGGTGAAGCTATAAGTATACAAGCCTTTGTGTTCTTTTTCCCCAGTATTGAGGAGTGAACCCAGAGCCTTCCTGCTGAGATACATTACCAGCCCCCTTTTTATTTTTTATTTGAGATAGAATCTCCCTGTCACTAAATTGTCCATATGGTTCAAACTTGCAATCTGCTTGCCTCAGCTTCCCATCATGCTTGGATTGCAGGCGTATGTCACCACACCTTTCTCCTTTCCCACTTTTTACAGACTGTTCTGTGGTTTGTCTCTAGATACTGTTGTCAGGATACTGTTCCTCCTCTTACACACAAGTGTGCCTGTTCCTCTTAAAGACGGGCAGAGCATACTGTTGTATGATGAACTAATTTATTTCATTGGTCCCCAGAGAGGCCAGTCTGGTTGTTTCTGGTCTCTGACACCCAAGGGCATTTGTCATGACAGGCTTGAGCGTCTCTTTTGGTCATTTTCTTTGCTGAGAGGTTCTCCTTCCCTTGCCCTGAAGAGGCCTGGTTCTAAACCTACAAATAACCCATCCTCAGTTTCAAATTATTAGAAATTAAATTCATCAAGGAGAAAAAAAGATCCCAGTGTTAGTTTTCTGTCACTGTGAAAAAAATGTCTGACAAAAACAAGGAAAAGTTTACTTCAACTTACAGTTTCAGAGGTTTCAGTCCCTGGTCAGCTGATTCCATTGCTCTTAGGCCTTTTGGTGAGGCAGAAACATCCTAGTGTGAGCGCTTGACATACAAAGCCACTCACTGCAAGACAGCCAGGAAGCAGAGGTTGAGCACGGGGCCAGCAGGTGTTCTCCTTCCACTTTGGTTCTGTCCAGGCCCCCAGCCAATTGCATGGAGCCAACATGCAGGGCAGGTCTCCTGGATTTGCAGTCCTACATGCCAGTCATCTCTGGAGCCACCCCCCTCCCAGACACCTCCAGAAGTTTGTTTTACTAATTCCCTAGGCATTTCGCAATCTAATCAAATTGACAATCAAGATGAACCATCACAATGCTTTATGCCAGAGCAAGACAATCAGCAACCAACATCATGGTGTAGATCATTCCAGGTTTTAGAGAATGCCTTGCTTTTTATATTAGATGATACACCCACACTTTGTTCTCTGTTATATAATTTTAACACAAGGATTCATTCACATTCCCACACCTTCTGCAGAGCAAGGGCCTCCTACCCTTTTGTAAGGGAGCAGCAGAAGGCAGAGAGAAGAACAGGGAACTCCCCTTGTCCTATGGCACCCACACACGTCTTGGAGTTCATCATTCACAGATGACGCAAGATCAGGTGGCTTGTCTGGGTAGTCAGACTCTGCAACCTTGTGTGCCCTGCAGACGGGGTTCTATAAAAATTTTGTCCCAGGACACACTTGCCCTGAGGATCTCTGTACAGTAGCACCTGCTACCTGTTCCGCAGTACTCCCCCTCAGCCCCTCCCCCGGCCCGCCCCCTCCACTCCTAGGCCTCACCACCCCACCTCCGCCCCAAGCCTCCAATGCTCAGCAGCTCTGTGCCCAGCCTCCCTTCCTGGCCCTCCTGGTGGCCACCGAAGTGGAGCCGAACCAGCCACCTGGACTCCTAGCGGGACAGGGCAGTTCCCTCACACAGGTTACTCCTGGGCGCTGGGGCGCTGGGGGTGGGGCCAGGGGCAGGGCTGACTTCAGAGGCCTGTTGTGGCCAGGCCGCGTGACCTCTGCCCACGCATCCTCTTAGCCAGAGAGGAGTTACCGGGCAGGACATGAGTTCCAGGACTGCCCCGCGGCTGCTGACGCTCCAGCGACACCTGGGATCCCCACAGGTAAGGGAAGCAGGCCGGGCCTCTCAGGGTTCCTGTCCCCTCATCTGCCTGGTAGCCTTATTCTTGATGTCCTGGGGGACCCTGGAACCAGGAACGCACATGGAGAGCTGCGTTCTGGGAGAAGGAGGCCATTGATGGTGTAGCAAGGGCAGAGGAGCCCTTGGTTGAGCACCACAGAGGGACCAGTCTTGTTTACAGAACCGGATCCTCATCGTGCTGACTCAGCAGTTCCAGGCACCCTTGCACCCAGTGTGTCCTCTGGGCAGCTGGGCTGTTTACTCTCACACAGCGGTGTGGACAGAGGCCTGGGCTGTTTTCAGGGCCCCAGGAGCTCACCGTGCCCTTCTTGTGGTCCAGGACAGTGACATGGAGTCTGGAAGCAGCCCACTTACCACACATGTGCTAGACACCACATCTGGGCTCCCAGCGAGGGGCCTCTGCCTCCGTTTGTCCCAGCTGAAGAACCTTGGCCAGCAGTGGACGGAGCTGAGGAAAAGGTAGGAGGCCCTGAGGAAGGCTGGGAACCCACAGCACCTGCTCCCCCATCGCCGGGCTCTTCCTGTGTCCCTCTGGGGCAGCGAAGGAGCATGGACACTGAGGGTAAAGAGCAGGGCTGGGGGCCCGGGCTACAGCTCAGTGGCAGCGTCTGCCTGGCAAGTGCAAAGTCCTGAGTTCGATTCCCGGTACCAAAAAAAAGCAGGGCTGACGGCTGCCCAACTGTCCCCTAGACTTGGGGGCCCTCCCTTGGCTTCACAGCCTGCCCCTCCCTCCTGACTCTGTGTGTCTGTTTCCTCACCTGAAAACAGCATGTCGAAAGTAGCTGTTTCACTAGGTACACGAATCCTGGGTGGATTCCACGGGACTTGCTGGGACAGCATCTGCCCAGGCTTTGCTTCCCCCAGCCTCACAGCCCCATGGGCCTGATAGATGGGAGCCAAGTTTGTCTCTCCTTGACAGCCCTGCCCACACCCTGTGGGAGCTTGAGTTAAGGACTGACGTGGAACCTGAAAGACATCACTGTTGCCACAATTTACAGGTGACCTTGGGCTTGGTAGCACTGAGCACTCTATTTCTGCTTTCTATTCTCCATATACCCTGTAGGCAGGCACCCACTTTACAGATGGGCAGACTGAGGCAGCAGAGACCAGGGGAAATTTGAGATTCCAGATCAGACCCATAGAGCACTGGGCTCTTCAGTTTCCATGTATAGACAGGACCCAGACCCTGGATCCCCTTCCCTTGCCCCTGCCTCAGGTACAGACTCTGCTGGAGAGGCCTTTGAGCTGGCCCTGTGAGCAGGTCCCCAGACACCCCATCCTCAAGGAGGCAGGCTGCCCTGTGGTCTCCTTCTTTCAGCCCCAAAGTAGAAGAAGGTGCAGGGTGGGAGCCTGTGGCTGAGCCACAAAGACTCAGGTCTAAAGGTGTGGGAAGTCCCCTACCCATGTAGCCCCGCACAACAGCTGGAGGTGAGGGCCCAGGTCCCACCAGAACAGCCACCTCAAGTCAGCACGGTGCTGTGCTGCCCAGGAGTTCCACAAAGGGTCACACAGACCTGTTCCCACCCCGACACTACACGCACGCATCCCCACTCTCTTGTCCAGCTGGCTTGGAATGTCATGAGGTTTTTCCAGCGCTAGGAGAGCAGAACGCTAGATAAGAGATGATCCATTCCATGTGGACCCCCAGTGGAGCTGGAAACGGCCACCACATAGATACAGTTGGGTGTGATTACTGGCCCAGAAAGTCAGGCACAATAAGCCACTGAGGGGCTGGGGATTTAGCTCAGCGGCAAAGCGCCTGCCTGGCAAGCGGAAGGTTGTGAGTTCGGTTCCCGGTACCGGAGAAAAACCAAAAACAAAACAAAACAAAAAAGCCACTGAAAAACTCAGGTTATGAAACAGCACAAATAGTATGTTTTGTGAAAAAAATAAAACTCTAAATAAACATACCTAGGCCTAGAGAAAATCTAGGAAAAATACCTGGCAAACATAAAGTGATTGTTGCTCATAGAATACTGTAGAAGTTTTTTTTTTTTCTTTTTGCTTCTCCGTGTTCATTTCCAAGCAGTACAGCAGTGTCCCTAGAGACTGCCCCCATCTCTTCACCATGTCTGCATCTGACTCTGGGGAGTGTCTGAGGCCCCTGGGGGTCAGACCCAGGAGGGTTGGGGTATGTTGGCTCCTTGTCCCATCTCTGCAGCCCTGTCCTCTCTTTAGCTCCACAGATATGGATGGCCGCTGCCCTGGGCTTCTGAAGCCAGGCCAGCTGAAGCCAGGCACCTACAAGCTGTCCTTTGACACCGAGGGCTACTGGACGAAGCGGGGGCAGGAGAGCTTCTACCCATACGTAGAGGTAAGGGCCCCAGGTGGGTATAAGGGGTGAAGGCCCCTGGCACTGTGCCCAAAGATCAGGCACTACTGGCCAGGCCTCATCCAGGGTATAGGCAGACTGGTCCCACCTATTCCAAGAACTGGCAGGCAGGCGAACTCACCTGCTTTTCTATCCCCAGAAGAAGGGCGTCCAGGGAAGCATCCTTAGACATCATGATCACGTGTCTATCCCTGAGCTGCCCCTGGGTTAGGCTTTGGGAGAGGCCAGGTCAAGGGTGACTCATCCCCCCTCTGTAGATGGAGTTTTCACCTGAGCCCAGACTGCAGCTCATGGGGCCTTACCTTGCTGGCTCCCTCTTCACCTGCAGCCACCATCAAAGACCCCAACATTTTTCACACACAGCAGGCTTAGGGGATCCTGCCTCCCTGGAATTGTTCCAGAGAAGACTAATCCCACCCTCAGCCCTCAGGAACATTCCCGTCCACCATCAGGCTCCACCTGACCCAGCCCCACAGTCTGAGCTCCTGAACTCTCCCAGGAAGCGCTGGGGCACAGCTCGGGTGCTGTGATCGCTCACTGTCTTCTGGCGCCTTCTGCTTCTCTCAGGTTGTTTTCACCGTCACAAATGATAGCCAGAAGTTCCACGTGCCCCTGCTGCTGAGCCCATGGTCATACACCACCTACCGAGGGAGCTAGAGCTGCGCCAAGCCCAACGGAGCCACCCACCCCACCCTCCACAGAGTGGGCTTCGTGGTCATTGTGGGACACTGAGGCCATCCACTTCCTGGGGAGGGTCCCATCTGCTGCAGGTTTCCAGTGGGCAGCTGTGACTTCAGTGTCAATAAAGTCAGTGGGGATATCTGCAAAGCCAAGGCCATTGTAGTGACAGGACCCCTGAGTGGGGGAATAGAAGCAATGCCTGGGTGGCTGGAGCTCTGCTACTGCTGCCCAGGTCCCAGGTGAGTGAGGGGCCCTCAGAGGTGCTGCTGAAGACAGGCAGGACTGGGAAGGGTGGTCACAGCACAGACTGGACATGCCCCCAGCAAGGAGGCAGACTGCGATGCTATGGGTGGAGGCCCCATAGGTATTCTCCACAAAGACAGCCAGGAAAACACAAGGGAACCATGGAAAAACTTTCATTTGCTGTTGAGAAAATATAAAGAGTGAAAGTTTGCTGTCCTCGTGTGAAAGATGGGGTGAGCTGATAGTGCTACCAGACATGTTCTGTGGGCTGCAGCCCAGGCAGGTAGCTACTTTGGGTATTTGTGGGGCCAGGCCCCAAACTCTACCCAATCACAGACATCTCCAGGGGCTTCAAGCCCACATTGTCCAAGGAGACTCCAAAGGTCAACGGCTTTGCCTCATATGTGTGCAGCAAGAGACAGAGCAGTGTCAGGAAGGAAGAAAGCCACCTGGGCCTGGACACTATGGCCAAGATGCTCTGGCCACCCAGAACTAAGTTCTTTTCCATGGAGGGGCAGGGTGCAAGGGGGTGGGGCCAGTAACATGGTGTAAAAGAATAAAACATTTGTCAGTGGTGTTCTGTGTGCCAGACCCAGTGCTGACACCTCTATGTGTGTTAACTCATACCTCATTATGAGCACAATGAATCAGAGAAGACAGATTCAGAGCAGAGCCGTGGCCTCAGGGCCTCCTGGCTCCTCACTGGGCATTTCTCAGTGAAGGTCATCATCCATTCCTTGCCCTTGTTGAACAGAATCTGTTCCCTGCCCTGGAGGGAACTCCAACTCCAACTCCCCAGCAACTATCTTCTCCCAGGGGCAGGGCCTCCGTGGGGACAGGTCCAGGTCACCCCTGATCTGCCCCAAGAGGACAATAGCACTGAGAAGGGCAGGGGGAATCAACAAACACCTTTGCAGCCACCATGCCAGAGAACTTTGCTCCCCAATCTAGAAAATGCACACTTTTAAAGGGCAGATTTCACTGAGTGGTATGAAGGTTTGATGAATTGATGTGTACAAAATGCTTGGAGCTTGGCCTGACTCAGAAAACACTCAAAAGGTTAGTTATCTCCACCAGGGTCCAAAAGAGAGTCCCTGGCCTTGGAACTGAGCATCTAAAGGAAAGATGAGATGGGCAGACAGGGGGCTGGGGAGAGCTGAGCCCAGCCTGTGATCTGAAAGTGCTGAAAGGCCAGAGCAATCTGGGCATCATGGAGCCTGGGAACCTGTGGGAGACAGTGTCTGCATCCTGGGTTCTTAAACCATGCTGACAGGAATGTCCGAGCATGGCCCCAAACAAGAGAACCAGAATGCAATGTCCACCCTCACAGAATGAAGAGTGTAACTGAGTCAGACTTGTAGGGCAGTTGATCTTGGTAAAATCCCCTGCAGATAGCAGGCAAAGTGTAGGCGGAACAGCTGTATGGGTACAGAGCCCAGATGTCTCTCAGCTACATGGGACAGACCACATCTGGGAGTACAGGCATTAGTTTCAGGGGTCTGACCCTCTCCCCCAAATTCAAGGACTTTTCTGATGTGTTGCTTTCATCAAGTTCACAGAGGAGTTGGGAAAGGTTAGGCCCCCAGCTATCCTGTGCTGAGGGCAGTGAACATTAATCTGGGAGACTAGAAGAGGCCTCTCCAGTTGCTGAAGAGGCCAGGTTGGCACTGTGGGTTGACGGGAGAGACAGAGTAGGAAACAAAAGGTGGCAGAGTGTACGGATCGGTTGGGTTCTTGCTGTACCCTGGGAAGGAATGGCGGTGCGAATGAGGAAAAAAGTAGACGAGACAAAAAGCTGCGATCAGGTGGAGGGCCTCTGTCTCCTGAGTGGAGAAAGGGAACTGCCCAAGAACAGTGGAGCATTTATTTTATACCCTTGAGAGCTTGATTAATTTCAACCTCTCTGCCCAGCAATCAGTTAACAAGCTACAACTTGTTTACACGCTTCGAGGATTCCCATGTTCTCAGGCTGGCTTCGTCCTGCATGCATAATTACTTTCCAGCTGCAGCCGCTCCCAACAGCAGAGCCCCAAGCATGCAACAGGCAGGCATGCAACCTGGCACAAAAGGAGCGCCATGATACTACCCAGTGTTGAGACTCCGACCGCATGCCAGGCAAGTGACCCTGGGACAGAGCAGATACCTTGAGCTGTGTCTGCCTCACCACATACCACAATCACACCCACCTCATCAAATGAGATAAGTGGAAACAGATATACTCAGAGACCATCCACAGGACATTGACGGGTTGAAGCTGAGCTCGAGGGAACAGAGCTGAGGGAGGCAAGGGGGCACAACTGTATCTTGCAGGCCAGGCCAGCTCAGGCTGCAGGTCTGTGATGGGGGTGTTCAATTCCAGAGTGTCCTAAGCAGAGGAGATGACTTTGAGAGTCATCGTGTGGCTGAGGCAGACAGGGTGGATGGTGGTCTGGGGGTTCCCTTGGGGATCAACATGGTAGTTTTATTTTTTTATGTGATGATAATATGCTTGCTTAAGTCTTTATTATATTGTAGGTCACTCTTTTTTCTTTTTAGAGTAGGAAAGTTTATTGGGGAAAAGAAATGGAGAATAGGAAGAGCTCCTGAGAGACAGGAGGGGTCCTGAATGGGTTGCCCCCATATGGTGGCTTTAAAAGTTATATATACTATTTTTTGTTTGTTTAAAACAATTGTGGTAATGTGGTCACATGATTCAAGAAGTTTAAAAATCTGTGAATGGCTTTCAGTGACAAGTCTATTCCATCATGAGGTCTGGGCTGCCAGCCTATCAACTGCATCTTCATTTTTTTTTTTTTTTTCTTTTTTGAGACAGGGTCTCACAATGTAGTTCAGTCTGAACTTCAACTCACTATGTTGCCCAGGCTCGCCTCGAACTCAAGGCAATATTCCTGCCTTATAGCCTCCCAAGTGCTGGGATTGTAGGCATGCACCACCACGCCTGGTGCATCTTCATTTCTTGCCAGGCCAAACAGTTTCTTCATGGAGATGCAGAGAGTACGATGTACATTTCTGTTTCCACATCCTCCCTTGTTGAGGGCCTGGATCTGCAGGGCCTAGCTCCTTAGAAGCCCCCACATGGTGAGGCTGCCGGTACACCTGCCTGAGGGGTACTACAGGTACCAGACGGAGACCCAGCCTGCCACCAACAGACAATAACCAGTGAAGCCCCTCCAACCCTCACCTGCCCAACCTGAGAAAAGTGTCCTAGCAGGGAGACATTAGCACTTCCCTGGAAGGCTCCTCACCCATAAAACAGGGAAACAATGACCAGGAAAGGCAAGGACTGACCCACATTTACTGCCAACTGCACCCTGACTGTGCTGGCTATGACTGATTCTTATCACTGCATCTTAGCTGCTTGGCAGCACAGGGCAGTGTCCAGCTCAGGGTCAGCTTGCCCCTCCCAAGGGGAGGGAAGGTCTCTCCTCCACTCTCCAACAGCAGGACCTCACTTCCCACGCACCTGTGCTCCAGGTGACCAGCCCTACCTGAGTAGGAGTCCAACAGGGTGCAGACTGACAGAGCTGAGCCTCTAATCCCAGGCCCTGTTGCTGCGGCTCCACAGGCCCCTCCTGTGCGGCTACCCCACCCCAGGCCTGAGACCTGACCTATCCCAGTAGCCAGGGTCTCATGGACACGCTACTACTTTTCTTTTTCTTTTTTTTTTTTTGGTACCGGGAATCGAACTCAGGATCTTTTGCTTTCCATGCAAGCGCTTGTGCCGCTGAGCCACATCCCCAGCCACTGCTACTACTTTTCTGTGGGTAAACAACTGTTCTCCTTCACCAGAAGTGTGGGCACATCATCTTGGACACTCCTGGCCTCTCCTCAGAGGAGGACAAGTCCTGCAGGATCGCCTCTTAATAGCTCTCAGAACCTCTGCTCCTCTCACCCTGCACCAGCCCTACCTGCACCCCCAGCCCTGCATTCCCCAACTGAGGGAGAGCAGGCTCTCTTTGACCCAGTCTTCTCTGCCCAAAGCCTGCTGGCTCTCAGTAACCTTCAAATGTGCTTTTATGTACTGGAGGACAGGAGGTATTCAGGACTCACAGGCATCCATGTACAGCAGGCTTCTGGAAAATGACAAGGCCAGCAATAATCATCAGGAACAGGGCTGGAAGACTCCAGCAGCTGGGCCCCACCCAGGCTGGTCAGAGTGATACACAGAGCACTAGGGCCTCCTCTCCTACAGCACCACCCACACTGCAGCCCCAGAAGAGTCACAGGAAGGAGAAAGCCTAGTCTCCCTGTCTCTCCCTTCCTGCCCTTAGGACCAAGCCTAGTGTTGGGTCCCAGAAATCCCCCATGTGCTTCTTCCTTGAACCCAGGTAAGCACTTGCTAACAAAGGAAAGGAATTCAGCGGGAAACTCACAACCACAATCTCCCTGTCCCTTTCACAGTCCCCAAGCTTTTCCTGCATGTAGTTTTTCTTGTCCTGCACCTCCTGGAGGGGATCTGCCAGGCACCCATTCTGCAGGACACCTCTGCCATCCCCCTCTCCAAGGGCTCTTTCTTCTTGTGCACATCCTCTATCTGCTTCTACTGGTACAGTGTAGGTGCAGGAGGGGTTAGGGCGTGGGTGTGGGCTGTGTGCTCTCCTACCACAGACAGATCCTGCCAGCCTCCCACATCCTAAGAACCTAGGCTTGTTTGTGTATAAATAATATTTTTGCAGTCTTAACTCATTCTGGATTTTCTAGGAACAGCTTCCTTGCAATGCCACTGAGTTACATCCACTTAGTTGAGGCTGAACTGCTCCCGGGCGTATAGCAAACATGTGAAAAGTTTTCTATAACCCAGCAGCTAGGCAGACCTTTTCAAATCTAAAGTCAAGCACTAACCCTTAATTATTGCAGGCTGATCAGGCCCGTAGTCTCCCAAATGAGTGGACGGCAAAGGCTTAAATAAATAAGACAACTGAAATGACTTCAGGGCTCTAGGAGGGTCTAACTCTCTTACTGAATTTGAAATTCTCTAGGTTAAGACAAAGATTTCTCTGGGCAGCCCATATTTATCAGGTTTTCAAACAAAGGAGGAGGCTACTCAAGAAAACGTGGGAATCTGAGCAGGACCTTGGGAGAATTT